AGCAAAGGATCTGCACCGTCTTTTCAATAGCTAATTTCAGTCAAAACAGCTCGAAGGAACGAATAAAACGCGCGATTAAAGTGTAGCCAGCTTCGCAGCAGTTTTTATCAAATGCAATTAGATTATTTGCCAAAGAAGGTAAATGCAATAAAGATAAGCTTTATGTGCAATTGAACCTCTGCAATTTTCTTCGCAAAAGTGCAAGTCAGTCCATGCATTTTCTCATTTGCAAGACAGCTGTGGCTGTGTAAATACAAATAAATACATATGACGAACCAGGCTATATGTGAATTATATCAGTGTTAATATTAAAGCAAAGATTAAAACATAAATGTATGTGGCTCTGTGTTGACTGCTTTGTAAGAATGAAAGCAAACTGTGTGATTCCCAAATGGATAACGATTGCACGTGTGCTTTTAAAATATATGACTTTATGAATTAATCACGATATTTTTTTTCTGTTTTTTGTATATGTATATAAAACTACGAAGCGATTTGTTATTATAAGGTCTATTTTGAGATTGTAATTTAAAAAAAAATGGAAATACATGCAGGCTAGTAATGCTCACAACAGAAAAAAAAAAATACCTCATGATAAACGTCATTCGAAAAAAGTACAACGCGATTGTTTTGTTCTTGCATGTCTTTACATTATTTTAGGACAATGGGAATGGAGTTAAATTCCGTATTTCAATTAGTGACCAAATCATCTGCAAAGTTAAAGCGAAATAACAAATATGTAGAAACCGAATCTTTAAAGTAGACTTTAAAAATTGGGATAGGAATTATATAAAAATTCGATGCCAGTCTATGTTATGTGTCGCGAGCTTTTTACAATGCAAGTAATAAATGCATTTGATATTTCTTTAATAGTTGTAATTTACTAAACGTGCATCAGCAAGATAATATATATGGTAATGATAATAAAACGACAACAACAACCAGTATGCTTATCATCTTCTTCTTCTTCTTCTTCTTTTTCTTATTGTTGTTGTTGTTATTATTATAAGAACAGAGAGAACTCAGATCATAAAGAAAAAATAGTCAATGAATATCCCAGATTTTACAGGCGCTTAAGTAAACAGAACGTTTGGCTAAAGGCTAGGTTTATACAGAGAGGCGGAGATTGATTTACGGCACTGAGAATACCCTCTTTTATTGGGGACTGTAAATCTGTCAAAAGCTGCATGAACGCGTAGTGCCTTATATATATATATATATATATATATATATATATATATTCTTTGATAGGCAGACTCGCCGGACAGCTGCTTGAAGTAAACGTGCATTTTCCATGTGTCAGGTTCGTTTGTTATAAAACTGCAATCAGGGAAAGGATTTAGATTAACCCAACTAGTGTATGAAATGTGTCTTAAATTATTATTGTTATTATTATTATTTTCAGTAATAATTTTAATTCAAAATAATGATTTATATTTTCACGTGCTATCAGCGAATCTAATCATCATGACTATAATATGCGGTATAGCTGCAGCATACGCGAGCTATTAGTTGCAAATTAAATTAGAAGTCAGGTTTTCAGAAGTCAAGAGTAACAAATAAAGCACCTGAAAATTCTTCTTTAGTGAGCTCACTCATTACTCTTCGCTATCCCAGGAAATAATGGAATCTGTATCGCAGCAGCCATTCAGTTAGTTAAATATTAATATCGAATGAATTGGAGCCCGGTTGGAGAGATACGGAGAGTTAAAGAAATAAATGCACGCCTAATCTGCATTTTTCAAAACAAGAGATTAAACATATTTACTAAATAGTTGTAGTAGACCATGTGTAGATATCGGTAATAGTACAGTAATATTGATGAAATAGTAGATTGGTAATGCAGCAGAAAGGGGAGGGGTTGCGTTTTGCTGGCAATGTTAACAATGGTGATTTGCCTTACTTAATATGTGTCTTTAAAACACACACATGCGCGCGCACACACACACACACACACACACACACACACACACACACACACAGGCTCTCAGCCCAGGCCCACAAAGCTGGCGCGCGCGGGCCATATATCTCTGTGACTATGCGGTGCTGACCTCCGCTCCGTGGCTTTTCACAATAATAATTCAGCAATGCGCGAGGGCTATTTGTTTCGCAATTAGCGGCGTGAGCTAAAACAGGCACCACACCATCACATCAGCGTTACAAGGCCAAGCGGCGAGCTTTCCAACAAACCTTGAAGGAGGGAGTGGAGACCAGAACAAGGAAAGCAAAAAGGAGGGGGCTTACATGATACAATACGAGACGTTGTCACACAAAATTGCCGTCATATTTCTGGAGCGGGAGGCCCTCTTGGCCTCCCTCACAGTGTTACAGCTACTGAAATACATATAAAGGAAATCGTAAAGTAATCTCGCGGTGTGTATTCTGCAGGTCTTGACACGCATGGTGACTATTCGGGCCTTTCACAAGCTGCTCAAACCAAAAGACGGGAGAGATGTTTAAGGATGGGTCTTTGCAAGGCCATGGCTGCTGTTGTTTTAAGGGCCCCGATAGTTTACTAGACTGTGTGTGGGAAGAGATAGCACGGTGCCCTCGGGTTACAGTGCCCCGGCCGTGCTGTTATGACAAACTCGCCCTAGGGCTTTGTTGACCATGTAAAACGTAGCGCTGTCCTGTCCGCGCCGGGTCAAGGGTTTCAGTGAGGTCAGTCTGAGCCTTCGCAACAGACCTAATCGGTCAGAAAAACGTGTCCTCTAGTTGAACCCATTGCTGCCATTCTGCCTGCCTGCTGCAAGAATCGATTTTTTTCTGTCATCCTTCAACTTCCCTCAATATCAGTTTCTATATTTTTGTCTTTTTTGCCACGCTTCATGCTACACAGGTCCGCAGAGGGAGGCGAAAGCCGTAAACCAGAACCACTGGCCTTTTCTCCAGTACGCACAAAAGATTGATTTGCAGGGGTTAAATGGCGGTGAGCCCGTATCAGAGCATTGGTGCTCATCTAAGCACACAACATGCAATTGAAGCAATTTGCTACAAGTCGTTTGTTTTAGGCAAATAGTTGCTCTCGAGACATTCTCTTCGGTGCTGTTCATTCCTGTCTGACCAACAGAGCATCGAATAATTTATTCTCGAAACCGGCCGCTTTGCACCTGTGTGCCACCCAAGCTCTCTGATGGAATAAAAAGGCCTTTTAGGGTGGAGAACCACATGCACACGCGCACACAAACAACATTATATGTAAAATAAATAAAGTGCCATTAACAACAGTCATTAGGGCAGCATGTCAAATTGGCAGCTAGGAGACTTAAATATGGCATATCTAGATATTGCTCAGATGTGTATGTGGCACATTGCAACTCATGCATATTCAGTGTTGATAGAAGATACAAATGCGCGTTCACACGCACATTAAGAGACAAAAAGACGCTCGCGTGCACACTTTTTTTTTTTTTTTTGGCGCTCCATACTACTTCAGCATCAACATCCACAAATACACCATCTAACAATGCTACAAATGTGTTACTCCAAGACGAAAAGGAAAACATGCTACCACTTTAGTTGTGATGGCACACACCTAGAAATTATCTTAAACACACGACAACCGGTTCCCAAAAGCTACCCTTTCTGTCAAAGCAACCATAAAACCCATCCGTGGCACAACACGACAAATGCGCCTCTGCTACCCTACTGCGAGAAGGCCATAAAGCAATAAAACTCAAAACACTAAAAGTGCGGGAAATAAAACAAAAGTACTGTACCTTAAACGCTGCCATCTCGTGTCCTGCGAAGATTCTCACTCGCGCTAACATTTTCAAGAGATTCTTCATGGGACATCCCTCGCCAAAAAAGTTTTCTTGCGGCATGACTTAGTGAATAGAAGATGGTAGAGGAGGGAGGGGGGGATGTCTTCAAGTGCCCTTCAAGATTTCACTCCCCTCCTAGCAGACGGTCCGAGCAGTTGTGCTTCCGAATGACAATAGGAGAGAAGACTTGTTTAAAGAGAAGCGGTGATTAATGATTTTTCTGTATAATTCTCACATTTTTCTTTAGGCTTCTGTCTGCAAATAATGGTGGTGAACTTTTGAGGCCCTCAAAAGAAATCTGTTCACTTCTATTCAAACCAGTGTGGCTTTTTTTAAAGAAAATAAAATATGTGTGACAACAATAGGATTCTAAGGTCTATTCAGATGCCACACGCAAATGCATCCATTTAAGTTCTCGGGTAAGTTTTGAGGGACATGTTAAAATTACATTTAAGTTAGATGCAAGATTTGGGTCTAAACCACAAAACGGGTGTATGTAGATGAATATCTATCTATCTATCTGTCTATCTATATTAATCTGTTAAAAAATCTTACATATTTATGCTACTACAAACAGTATTAGCTAACAATTGTGTATATTTAAATATTTCAACTAGAGCATGGTCCTCAAATGATTTTACTGCATCACATTTTTTGCTTTTTGAAGTGTTTGACGTTATGTCCAGACAGCATTTCATAAATAAAAGGGAGAAAACAGACAAATGGCTTTAGCGGGCTGTGTGGCGAAAAGGCCTCTGATATCAACAAGCAAGTAATAGAAAATCTTCTCGGTGCCACGGAATGCCAGAAGACCAATTTAAGGCCATACTTTTGTGTAAAGTTCAACGCCAGCAAACGGAATGTTATTTTCTCCGGCTCTATATTTTCAATACCTGCTCTGAGAAAAGAAAATGAAAATTAATACAAGGGCTGCGCCTTCCAAAAGAAGCCATTTGTCTTCTTGATTATCTATTTGGTTGTCAGGGTTTGAGCTATGGCACCGACCCGCTCCTTTGTAATATAAAAAACACACAGCTTGCGCTGGCAAACAGTCGCGAAACTGTTGTGCAAGAATTACACTCATTAAAGCATTAAAAGCCCACGAGCCGAGAAACTATTTAACTTCTGCTTTTTTCTAACATGGATCCATATTTTTAGGCGCATTCACGGCATCGTTGAGCAGGGGGTTTGTGCACCGTTAAATTAAGGAGAGAAGGTAATGGGCAGGCCTACGGTTCATCCTTTGTACCACAGAGTAAACATGACAAATGAGGCCGAGTTTGGCGTGATTAAAGATGAAACACGGATCCATCTTCACCAAATCTGAAAACTATCTGCCGCCTTCTGTGCTTATGAAAGGGGCGAGTGAGCAGGAGAGGCGTGCGGGATAACAATGGGAACCAGACTGGGAAAGCAACCCATCTAGCATTTGAGTTCGAGTCTTCACCCATTTTGAGTGTTAAAAAGATGGACATTTTCTTTGCTCCTTTCCCCCACATCTTCCTCGTATTTTATCCCTGTAATTAGAGTGCAGGGGAGAGTAGGGAGACACAACGCAGGTAAAATCCACGTTCTACACTCCAGAAAATTAGATTTTATAATTGTACGTGTTTTGGGCAACAGTGGAGTGCTATAGACTTGGCGGAGGTCCGCTTGCTCGGTTCTGATTGCTGCCCAGTGTCGGGCCGCTGCTTGAATTAGTGTTGGCAGAGCTGCTGCGTATTTTGGTGTTGGGAAGCTTATGGTCCTTCTTCCACTTCATGCGCCGGTTCTGAAACCAAATCTTAATCTGTCGTTCGGATAGGCATAGTGTATGGGCAATCTCCACCCTCCGTCTGCGAGTCAGATAGCGGTTGTAATGGAACTCTTTCTCCAATTCCAGGACTTGCTGCCTCGTGTAGGCTGTGCGTGAGCGCTTGGGTTCACCCCCTGAATAGTTCGGGTTCACTGTTTGGATACAGAGAGCGACACGTTACAAAAAAGTATAACACACGCACACACACAGCCCCCAAACACACACTCACACTTACATATGATATGTACACTCCAGTTCATCAACAGTCAGATGCACAAACACTATAATAATATAATGTAGGTACTACGTGAAAAAAATCTGTCTATCTCGTATTTGCAAGTATACAATGTGACTGTTTAAAGCTTCGGTTATGCAAAAATGGTAAACGAAACAAAAAAAGTGGCCATTGTCTATTTAAGATAAGCAATTTGCATAGTGTCGGGACAGTGACACTAATTTCAATATTTTATTGCTCAAAATAAGTCAGTAATAGCAGCACAAGATAAAACAATAGGAATATTAAATTTTTGCGTAAGAATTCATAAAAACAACACATATTCAGCAATTCACTACGAGGGACCAGCGTAATCTATAGTTGGCTATGGGCGACTAATGTTAAGCTGTGATTTTGCAAACACGGAGTTCGCCCCCTTTTGAGCGCACCCCAAGGCAGTTGTATGGATACAAGCACTAATTATCGCGGAATAATAGTTTGTAAAAGAGTCCGACTCTTTGTATTACCATTAATGTTTTATTATCGTCCTCATAACTATTAATATTTTAGCTCCCATAAAACTTTTTTTTATTAACAATAGTTAAGTGACAATGTACACATCAATCCGTCCAGTCACTTAAAATCAAATTATTAAAACATAAAACTTAACTTATGGATTACATGAGATCTCATAAACCTCTTCTCGGGAAGAAATTAGAACGAGAAAGTTGCATAGACCCCGAAAGAGCTTAAAGAAGGAGTGCAATGAAAATTTATGGCGGGTGTAATTATATTGCCCTGCAAACAGACGATCGTAAATCTCGACCAAGGGCAACTTCATAAGGGGAGCAATAGATTTAACGCCGGACATTATGCTTTCTAAAGTGTCTGAGCTGTCTGCGCACGGAAACACTAGTAAGAGAAGTTTAGCTGCACTTACCGATGTTTACGTGGACTTTTTTCATCCAGGGGTATACCACGGGATCCTTTCTTGAAGTGACCGGTGAAGTGTTTTGGCTAGTGGGAGTCTGACCGCAGGCAGGCGGAGGGCTCGGAGTTACCGAGTCGCAGTGATGGCTTGGTTCAGGGAGAGGGGTCGAGAGTGCGGTTGTGGGTAGAACGTGACCTCGCGGAGAGATGACCGCGGCAGGCTGCCCCGAACCATGGCACGATGAGTAGGGTGGGTCGGCGCAGCCCGACCGCTGGTGGTAGATCGACTCATGCTGGAACGAGGGGTCTTGCCTCTGGGCGCTGTAGTAGTCCGGAGAGTGACTGGGTAGGTAGTCGCTCTGGGAATATTCCTCGCATGGTGGAAACTTGGGGTCCACATAGTTGGAGTTGATCAAATAGGAACTCATGGCCATTAATTTCTTTGAATTGCACACAAAATATACTAAAATTTATATGTATCCCTTTACTCGTTTTCCTGTTTGGTAGAACCCTCCTACTTTCTGTCAAGTGAACAAAGTTAAGGGTCCATGTGACATCGTCAGCCAATGGCGTGGATCTTCGCGATTCCCGGATAAGGAAATGGGATTAGTCAGTTTAGACCGCGCTCATCAACTCACATTTCGGAATAGTCTAAAATTCCATTCTTTCTCAAACGTTGCTATGCACTTGATGAGATAGTGAGTAAATCAAAACAATAACAAGCCAATGCAGACACGGCGAAAAGGCATGCTGGATTCTACCAGCCCCACAGAAAGTCACGCCCCCAGTCCCTCTCAGTTCATCTGCACGTTGAGAACATGACTACACCTCTATAAAGAACTGTTCAGATTTGGCGAATAGAAACACTGCTTAATTTTGGCCAGTGTTCATGCAAAGCGGTACCAGGGGAAAGTGATGCAAGAAGCTCGCCTTGACCAAGTTCTTAAATGCACTCGCTAATAACGGTGAGAGAATGGTCGTGGCGTGAGCAGCGTGTCAGAGATGAATCTGGGCTTGTTTAAGATCGATAGAAAATTCATCAACTAATTCAGGTTACAAAGCCTCCTAAATCACAAAGGAGACCTGCATTTAAACGGAGTCTGCAGTCATTCCACTCCAAACAGCGCGTTTATCCTGTGTGCCAAATCTACACACACTGAATAGTAATATATGCTTAATTCACTATTAACACCAGCAGCAAATATTTATCGCTGTTTACTAATAGTAATGTTTTAAATTAACTGCATTCAGATAATCATTAATCAGTGCAAAACTATACAAATTATTATTATTATTATTATTATTGCTCATTTCGAATTCTTTCCTTTTTTTCTAATTTCGAATTCTTTAAGTCTCATAAAATATGTGTGACATCATGAACGCCCTTCAATTCTACACCACAATTTACAGAAAAAAATGTAGTAGTTAGGGGAAAAAATAACTTTCGTTACTGCAACAATATTCCACTAACAAACAGTCATTAATAAACAAACCGAAAGTTATAATGTCATCTTCTTTGCCCGTTGAAGTTGAAATGTAGCCTATACATCAACTACATACTCCCTTAGACACGAATTTGTGACTGTGCGTCTGTATACACAAATCCGGATCTACAGGGTATATATAGATGACAGGTATCTTCTTGACAGGTATTGAGAGAGCCTGCTCACCTTGACAGTACCTTCCCAGTGTCAAGTGTTGCACCTGGAACAGTCTGCCTCCAAGGATATCAGCAATCTGTCTCGCCACTTAACGGATCGGTGCTTCCTTTATAAACCTTGCTAATGGTTTGTGGTAAACACTGGAGTTTTTCTTGTACATTTCTCCCCGACATAGAAACTAAACGCATAACATAAGAGAGGAAAATTTACATTTTTTTTCACTATATGGCCCAGAAACAACATTTTCATAACCTCGAAGATCAATCTCTTTGTCTCTTCAATATATATACTGAACGGTCGAAGAACACACCTTTGTCGTCTGGTGTGCTATTTCATGTCAAAAACGTTTAAAATAAGAAAAAAAAAATAGACTGATGTTGGAAATGAATAAAACACACAATTACAAGCTAAGACTTAGGCCTACACAATAACATCTATTCACGACAGACATGAATTTTAAAACAGTTCCTTAGAATCTAGCACAGAAAGCGCGTACAGGCCAGCAAGTAAATGCGACCGCGACAGATCTCAACAAAGGTCAAAGAAAGCTGAAACAGCCACTGGAATAAGACGCAGGTCAGCTCTGTTTGTTGCCGGCAAACACCAGTCAAACGGCGAATAAATAGTGAGGTGAGAAGTATAAAACAATAAAATATGCACATAGGACACTACCACTAGTTCTTTAACCCCTTGACACCGAGCAAACATTTTTATGACTCTTTAAACAAGCGTTTCTCTCAACAAACACTCGGTCACTCATTTCATGGAGAACGCTCTGAAATAAAGAAATAATTCATTCTAAGGAGATTCTCTTTGTTTTGGGGATGCACCGATATTTCAAGGCTGGTTTTTAGATGTACAGAAGAGGTAAGATTTCCTTTAATTCTACAGTAGAAGGTAGAATAATGGAGTAGGCTAAGTGGGAAAAAAAAACGAAAACACATTCATTTTTGGAGTTTACTTGCTATTTAAAATAATCGACCGTATCCGATTTATTACAGCAGCAAGCAGTAGGCTATGTTACGTTAGTAAATCTACACAAAAATGAGGGATAAACATAAAATTGTTTGTAACTACATAACGCTCCGTTTGCCACATTTCGTACCTTAACGAAAAGAAAACTCTACCAGAAAAAAAGTTACTATACAAACATCGTAAAATTAATATTGTATCCAACGAAATTGTCGTTGTGCTTCATACCAAAATATTTCAAACAAGCACCATAACACAATATATCGTAATATTATCATTTTAATATTATAGTTTTCTTCAAGCACTAAAACAATGCCAAACAGCTGACAATTTAAATAAATATTTTCGTTGTCTAAATATGTACATATAAAATAACGATTTAGTAAATGTCACAATATTGGTATGATATTGGAATAAATAAATATATATATATATATATATATATATATGTATTCATTCATTCATTCCTTATTATTGTTTGCAAATCTAAATCTGGAGGGTTTCTGGACAGTCTTTGTTCTGCTGCGGCAAAGGCAGAAAATTTACTAAAGATTATATTATTGTATTATTAAATATATCAAAATAATATCGAATAGTATCGAAATATTCTCAAACGAAGGAAAATCTTTTTCCATTCACGGAGCAGTTTAAATGTGCATAAAAAAATTGTATCATATCAAAGAAATCTGTAGCACCCCTAGCGTTTGGCAATCAAAGTTCTGGCAATTTTTCAAATGGGCCTCTGCCATTTTCAGCTCTCTTTTTTTCAGTTTGCCTGACTCCTTTCTTCTCTCTCAATTCATTTTGATTTCTGCTTGGTAATAATTGTGCCGACCTTCTTGCACTGAAGCACGTTAGCATCCATGTCCGAGTTGAAAACATGCAAACGGCTAATAATTTTGTTTAGATGACTTAGCTTTTACTTCGCATGTAACCTCTACATCTTATTTCACATTTTATCGATGCAAATCTGTTGTAACAGCAAAGGAGAAAGTTCAGCCTTGGTGTCCACTCTAACCCTTTCACCCCCTGAAGTCCCCGACCTCGCCTTCACCCCCGTGAGCCATCTCCTTCTAAAAGCCATGGGGACCTCGAGCCATCTGCCTCATTATGGGGTTAATATGTACACCGACAGGCAGTCAAAGCCGCGGCTCAGAGACTATAGCCAAGGTAAATATTCACGATATAAAGCCCACACTCGCAACAGTGCAACTCCGTGGGGCTCGAATTCAAAGTCATAACTCCGTTATGATAGGAGGGGGGACCCGTACTCTCGCCACAGTGTGCGCGAGCACGTGGTCTGCCCAAGCAAACACCTGCAGAAGAGAGCGCGGCGATATGCAAATTAAGCGCCTTTTTCTTTACTTACTTTTTTGACTCTGACCGTTGCATCTCTCATTTCGGTAGTCTCTCGCCCATATCTTCTCTCCTTTGCTGTACATGGTCTTTGCAAGGGATTGTCGCCGCTCCAAAGCCCTTCTTTTCGTTTCAACCGTTCCTGCGAGTCCCTCCGTCTGAAACCCCCCCTTCTCACTCCTTTCTCCAAAGCCACAGGTTTAGCCCGTGACCTCGCCGTGATACCTTTGTGTGCTCAGCTCCCTCTCATTTCCGTGGGTACCCTCGACCTCCTCTTTAACATCACGCGACGATAACAGACAGGCGGACATGAAAACATCCAAGAAAATCTTCAACCGATTTAAGAGCTCAGAAAAAGCAATAATAAGGAAAAAGCACCGAGCCACCAACTTCGACAGCAGGAGTCATCGCGCCGTATTTTCCGTTTTGAGGATTTATCTTGCCGGCAACAACAAGGGGCTTTCCCCACACAACGCAGCCTTCTCTCTCCTAAAACAACTAAAAATATAATGCACGTTAGCCTCGAGCCGCTGTGAGCTCTACAATACCATTGGGCGATATAAGGCATTTTGTTGTGGACTCTCATTCACCACTTACGTACGTTGTTTCTGAGAATACCAAGTCGTTCAGCATCACATCATCCTGGCTCTCCACCATTAGTCCAAAAGTTCGGGCCAATAAATTATTATTCATGACCAAATTATCAATTGCCCAGTTTCTGCGCTTTTTCAACACTAACATATTCCAAACACGCCTTTAAAATCAATATTTAATTTATCAAATAAAAATGAAAGCCAAAGATGTAATCCCAATGTTTCAATCTTTTCGCCTTGTGAATAGTAGCATACACACACACACACACACACACACACACACACACACACACACACACACACATATATATATATATATATATATATATATATGTATATTCTTTTTTGAGGTATTCGTGACGATTGGTGGGAGATGATATGATAAGAAAGGGAAATGTGTTTCTTAAGTAAATTTCCTTTGTTTATTCACAACTTGTCTACATTTTAAACATGTAAACAAAATACCGCAGGTGGTCTTCCGTTCTGAATGTGGCGAATGTGATCAACAAACAAAAATGTGGAATACAATAGGCCTCATATCAAAATAGAGGTATGGCGTCGCGGAACTAATTTTATTTCTTTCACAATCAGAAAAAGAAAATATTTTATTTGCGTTGCGTTGAATGCGCATCCGGCGCCTGCAATCATAAACTCGGTCACGAACCGTAAGCTTGTTATTTCTCTTATAAAATGTATAGATATAAGTTTCTTATTTCGTATGTTCACATGAATATTATGACATGATAAAGTTCGTCAGAAACCCTATATGCAAGCTTTATTTGTAGAGTTAAAACGATAATGTTAGACATAGAATTCACATAAATGGCTTTGGGTTTACAAGATTAGGAAAGTAATAGCCTATAGAATACACAATTAAATAATGTGTTTTCAATAATATATT